ATGTGAGGCCAGGTCGAAATATTTTCTTTATATGTTTTATATATATCTTTATATGTGTTTTCTATATATGTTATATATATATATACAGTATATATATATATGGTGCAACAAATATATATATATACATGTAATTATATATATATATGTATATATACATATATATATATTAATAATGTATATATAATAATTAATAATGTAATTTCTTTTCAGTTGTTTCCTGACCCTACAACGTATGTACTATAGTGTTGCAATTCCTGTAGCCATATCACTACTTGTCAACTTTGTCGTATTTATTATGGTCTTGCACAATTTGAGCAAGCTCGGAAAAAATGCAACTAAAACTCAAAAAAGGGAAAAGAAAATCAAAAGCAAAGGGATGCAGATGTTACAAAATGGCGTGAGCATCGCAATGGTTCTGGGGTTAACATGGCTCATCGGCTTCTTCGCCATTGGAGATGCTTCAACAATGATGCTGTGGTTGTTTTGTATTCTTAATTCTTTCCAAGGATTTCTCATTTTCCTAATGTACTGTGCCAGAAATAAGGAAGTACGCAATCACTGGCTAAAGCTTTTTCGCAATGTACCAGGAGGTACAAAACGCCTTCGATCGTTTATATCCGGCGAAACACGACGATCAAGTTTATTCTCGGGTTTGTTCAAATCTCATTCATCTAGTAGGCAAAGATCATTCTCCAATTCGTCTTCGTATCCTACCCACCCTAGACATTATCACAGTGAAAATAGTCAAGTTAAGCTCGGAAAACTCTCATCCACTTCGGAGAACATCAATCTAAGGCGCTGATCCATTCCCAAATATTCATATTTTCATACGTATTCTAAATGATAGTGCTAAGGTGGCCTTCGTACTTCACATGTATTCCCTGTGTAACCGATAAAGATGATGATTCACCGTCGTAGTTACTTGAACGTATGAAAGGCAAATGTTATTTTGATATCAATTAAATTGAAATGACCAAATCTTGCCTATATTATTTTGTTATTTTAAATTTTGACAAATACAAGTGACATGCCTAATTATGGTCATGATGAATTAATATATATATATATATATATATATA